GAGAACCTGACAAGCCACTGTGCTGACAAAAGAATACCATCTCCCTAAACGACTACTCAACTGGACAAGATGCCACATGGAAACCCACTGGATATCGCTGAGTTCATAATCCATGCGATGGAAGATAGGACCCAATACTTGTTCTAAAAATCCCTTGACAATGCGGAGGAAAGCACCAAACAGTTGCAAAATATTAATTAACTCTTTGGGGCCTATGTTGGAAGGTATGGTGACAGGATTACAGGCAACCGTGGAGTTCCTGTAGAAGGGCATGATCCACTTCCAGGAGGACTGGGTCATCACCACCGGTATGATGGCAAACACCCTGGAGATGATGGGAGAGGCACAGGATGAGATTAAAGGGATCTGAATGGCAGAAGCTCCTATTGGAGGCACTGTGCAGGCACGGGAAGTGAGGGTGAACATAAAGCAGCCTCGGGGGGCTGCCCCGAACACCTTTGGTGGTGATCCCAAGAAGGTGGACCAGTTGCTCACTGCCTGTTGGCTCAATTTTCAGAGGAACACAACATACAACAGCGAAATCTTCAAGATCACCTGCTGCTTCTCATGCATGAAGAATGGAACAGCCACTGCCTGGGCCAACAACATCATCCAGTTCATGCACAAAGGAGATGGTATGGGGGCCTACAAAGCCTGGAAGGAGTTGAGAAAGCTGTCATCCAGGACTTCAAGGGAGGGGTGCAGATGGAGATTGCACAATCGAAGATGGAATCCCTGTGTCAGGAGAAGACTACAGCCACTGCCTACTCCACAGTCCTGGATGCACCTAACAAAGCGGTGGGACCCAACAACACCAACCACCCTGATTCACATCCTGAAGTGCAGGATATAACTGCCACTGGTGGAGTCGGTCTACAAACAAGAAGTAATGCTGAAGACCTATGCCAACTGGAAGAAGGCCGTCATTAAAAACAATAGTCTTAAACATGCCTACCAGGCTATGCAGTATTCCCTGCATAACCATTCCACTCATTTGCTGCTCCCCACTCGGAGCTCTAATCCTGCTGGTAATCCCAGAAGCAAAACTGGGACTCCTTGTTGCCACGAATGGTGTGGGGCTTCGGATGGTAGCTCCAGCACCCCCACTGGTAGTGCCGGTTTGAGCGCCGTGGCTTCAACCTCAAGTACTGCGATGATGCCTATGGACATTGACCACCACCACTCTTGGACCCAGCTTCTGCAACAGTAAACCCATCTGCTACAACTGCCATAAAGACAGGCATATTGTGCATGACTGTCCCAGGGATATAGTTAAGAACCCGCACTTTCCTGCCATGATGTCAGAACTCATGAAGGAACCCCTGGGGGATTTTTTTGACGATCAGGAGTGAAATCTGTGTCCTCCCAATCCCAACCTATACCCGAATTGTGTGTATCCATCTCACTTACCAATCAATCTGAAGTACTGACTGTATTTGAAGATCCCGAGAGTGATACCAAGTCCGAAAAAACCGCAAGCAAAGAAGAGAAGGAGGAGAGGAGCCCAAGGCCTAATCTGTGCAGCTCACTCCAAAGGAACAAGAGGAAACCTCAGATGGAGAAAGCAGAATAGTTCAGACTCCCTGAAGGTAGCATGATTTGAATCGTGCAGCATGCGAGAAAGACCCCAGCATACCTACCGTGTATTTATGTGGTGGATGCATCCCCAATGCTGCACCAAAGTCAAAAGCACCCTCCTTCAACGACTGGTCAAAATCTATCCCCAGAGGCCCTGGGTGTGCTGAAAACCTGTGTGAAGTGCCGCAGTTTATATGATCCATGCCTAGTGGAACTTGCAAGAATTCCATGATGATACCCCATTGTCCTGGAGGATCTCTACAGGCTTCGGGGATTTACGATCTTGGGATTACTGGACAGCAGGGCCACCAATGGATTCATTAACACCAAGTTTGTGGAAGAAAACAGGTTGGAGACTGAGCCTCTACCTTTGGCCGTGCCTGTCTATAATGCTGGTGGAACTGGCAACAAAGGGAGCCAGATCACCCACGTCATTTGATTTCATCTGCGGATCAAGGACCATATAGAGATACATGGACACTGGCAAAGGTGACGTGATCATCGGGTTCAACTGGCTTAAACAGCATAATTCCAACATCGAGAAGAAGGGAGAGATTACATTCTCATGTTGTCCAGCAGAGTGCAAATGGAAATGTTTGTGGGAGGAATGGGAAGAGGAAGACATGGAGGAAGTAGAGCCCACAGATTGAATCTTTGTGACCAAGATCTATTCTGAGGAGTTGCTGGCAGGGTGAGACGCAGAACAAATCTGTGCGAGGGGGAGTGTGGCCACGAAGTTAGCAGCTGCTGTGCATGAGGTGAGAGAAGAACGGACTTTGGAACAAGCTGTTCCTGAGCACTATCTACGAGATTATTGGTCAATTTTCAAGAAACAGGAATTTGACAAACTCCCAGTGTGGAAGAAGTGGGACCACACCATCGAGCTAGAGCTAAGGGGCTGAACTAGTGCGAGGGCGAAGCATCCTGCTCCCTGTTCCCAAACAGAAAGAATTGGACACTTTTATCAAGGAACACCTGAAGACCGATCACGTTCATCCCTCCAAATCCCCCTTTGCCTCACTGTTCTTCTTTGTCAAGACAAAGGATGGGAAGCTCCAACCTGTGCAAGACTACCGGAAGCTGAACACCATCACTGGGAATAATGAATATCACATTCCCCTCATCTCCGAGATCATGCACATGCTTCCCAAGGCGACTTGGTTCACCAAACTGGATGTGTGTTGGGGCTATAACAACATCCGTGTCAAAGAGGGAGACAAGGAGAAGGCTGCATTCATCACCAATCGGGGATTATGGGAACCGCTGGTGATGTTCTTCAGGTTAACCAACTCGCCAGCAACATTTCAGTCCATGATGAATGAGATTTTAGAGAAACAGATTGCCAAAGGGAGAGTGATTGTCTATCTCGACAATAACCTCATATATTCCGAAACCCTGGAGGAACATTGCACTACCATGGCAGAGGTGCTCACAATTCTTAAATCCCACGATTTATACCTCAAGCCGGAGAAGTGTGAGTTCAAGAAACAGGAAGTGGGGGGAACAGGAAGATGCAGATGGACCCGGTGAAGGTGGCAGGAGTGCAGGAATGGGTGACACCCAGGATGGTGAAGGATGTTCAATTAAGCTGTTCAATTGTCAATGAAATATTTGAAACCAAATCTTTGTGACTTTTCTCTTCCACTGTTTCAGAAAATCACTGCACTTCGTCCCCCGTCGCTCTCACTCCTGGCCTTCATCGCTGCCACAGATTCGGTCCCATTCCCTTGCTTAGGCTCGAGTCCCTGAGCATTGTTGATCTCACTTGCCCATTTATATTCCATTCTTCTTCCTTGCTTTCCACGCTCGGAAGGTCGAGTGGTACACCATTTTTTGCACAGAGCACAGCTGTTCCGGTTGGGGAAAATGGGATAGGTCAAGTAGATGATCTGTCCCTAGATTTGCTAATTATTATTAACTGAACCGGTCAAGCAGCCGATCCGGTTCGAACGGTGCCCGCATGTCGCATGTTTGGTGTTCGAAAACGCTTTTTTGACATTTTTTAGAAGTATGCATTATCCTTGATGATCGTCGGCGGGACTTGATAAGAATAAGAGTGGCCGCAGCCTTGGAGTTTCGGATTCAGTTCTTGTCAGGCTCGCAGAGCAGAATTTCACCAGGTATCCGGGCTTTCGATGGGTGGGTGAATTGGACAGCATAGTTTGCAAAGAAGTTGCCGTTTTGTACAGTATGGGTTTGTAGAAATTGTGCAGCTCATTGTCGATGCAGATACTTACCAGGGATAGATAGTTGCCCGCAAGGGGGTGTGGTGTACGGACACCGGGGGCAAAAGTCGACGCATGTCAAACGACATGTGTCGGCTTTTGCCCCCGGTGGGAGCAAAGCTGCCTCGGGTTTGCAGTCAAAAAGATCCAGGCGGAAGCAGCTGATCCGGGTTCGACTCCCGGCGCCTGCATGTTTGATTTTTTTTCGGGGCTTTCATAGGTATGTATGATTCCTCGAGGATGGTTTGGGGGAGTTAATAAGAGGATCGTCGCAGCCTTGGAGTTTATCACTCAGAGCTTGTGAGGGGTGCAGAGCGGAATTCCTTCCGATGGTGGTTGAATTGGGCATTCTTCGGCAAGGAGACTTGTCTGGGATGTATGTGTTTGTGGACCTGCTTGTTGTTAATGCAGGTACTTACCAGGGATAGGTTGGCTGGAAGTGGGTGTGGTGTACGGAATACAGCTGCCTTGGGCTGGCTCTCACAGATTCAGGCGCAGGCAGCTGATCCGGGTTCGGCTCCTGGCACCCGCATGCTCCGTATCCCATCTGTTTTTCTTCGGAGGCTTCTATAAGTATGGATTATTCTTGAGAATGCTCGGCGGGCGATAGGAGGATTGTCGTAGCTTTGGAGTTTAGGATTCAGTGCTTATGAAGGGTGTGGAGGATCGGAAGTTCACCAGGATCCGGGCTTCGGGTGGGTAGTTGAATTCATCCTAAGTGGGCATTGTTCCCGTAAGGAAGTTGCCGAGGCTGTGGTATTTTTCAGCAATGTATCGGTTTGTAGAGCCCATTGCTGATGCAGATACTTACGAGGGATAGAGAGTTGCCTCCCAGCGGGTGTGTGGTGTACGGAACACAGCTGCGCCGGTTACCGCCGACGAAACCGTCCAGCAGCTGATCTGGGTTCGACTCCCGGTGCCCGCATGTTCCGTTCTCCATCGTTTTTTTTTGGGGGGGGGACTTTCAGAGGTATGCATTCTTCTTGAGAATGGCTTGGGGAGTTGATAAGATGATTGTCGGGGTCGTGGAAAATGGCAGTGCTTGTGTGGATCACAGCGCGGAATTCCTTCCGATGGGTGGTGAATTGCGGGAATAGTTTGCGGAGAAATTATCGCGGCTGTCCAGTTTATACAGTATGGGTTTGTGGAATAACGAGTTGATGCCGATACATACGAGGGATGGATAGTTGGCTGCAAGCGGGTGTGGTGTACGGAACACAGCTACCTTGATTGCTCGCGGAATCACAGTAGACAATTGAGCAGCAGACCCGGGTTCGACCCCCGGCGCCCACGCAGATGCTATGCGCGCAATTTTTTCTTCTTGCGGCCCTTCGCTTGAAAATGTCGTCAGCAAGTGGCAGTGTTTGCGAGGGTTGCAGAGGAGTCTGTGGACATTCTGAATCAGTTGCATTTTGTGGGGATCGGGAATTAAATTTAGATTGCCGTATCCAAGCCGTTTCTGTTGCGGGAAATTCCGGGCAGAGGTGTACAGTGGGAGACATTTGGTCGAGAGACAACACCCAGTGCAGTGGATAATACAGGAGATTAAGAGAGGCAGAAGCAGGCGTGGCGCATGGATAAGACTCAGGATAAATTATACTCAGTGTGGTCCCGTTTCCGGAACACTGTGCCAAGGTGTAGTCTATAGTACAATGTACCGTTACTAGCCCATAGCCCACTCCCCATCGACGAGCTCACCTTTCTCCAGGGGTAGATCTCTGGGTTGTGTGAAATGGCTGGAAAATAAATAAAGGGCAAGAAAATACCATGTCAGGCCAAACCAGAGGTCCGGCATCGACAATCACAAATACCTTATAGACAAATTTTGCGACCCGGCCCACCGTATCTCTGCAGAATATCAAGGCTTTCAAGACGCTAGCTGTGTTCCGTGGTACCACTGTCGCAATTCTCGGTTTCACACCGCTCATCAACTGCATGAAGGCAGCCCTGTACTCAACTAGTCTCGCAGATTCTTTGCAGAAGAACAGGGTGTCTTCCACCATTTCAACATTATTACATCCAAAGCAGCAGAGACGGTCATCGCGTGGCACGTAAACCCGGTGGTATCGCTGCTTATAGTGCATGTATTCCACAGGCAATGGATGTTGGCTTACAAGAAGCCGTGTCAATGCTTCGCATTAACGGAGGCTCATCTTCAAGTGGCTTGCATCTTGTGTGTAGCATGTATGAATGGGTGGACTTAGACACCTGTTTCATCGCCGCAATATCGTCTGATGTAGCGAGGGCCTGCAGAGCTGTGTGGTGCACTTGTGTCGGAACAATCGAATTTGCCTTATCAGGCGACGAAACCTGACCGACTGGTCAGAAGTCTGGTCAGGGCTGATGAGCTGGGTGGGGCAGCATATCAGTTGTGGTCAGAGGTTCTGTCAGATCCCCCGCCCGACTTAGTGACAAAAACAGGGCAGCAATGTGTTGAAATAACAACTGCGGTATCCATACATACCTACACTTGGCACTCGCTACTCTGATTCATGACTTGAGATTGGCAAGTACCGTGAGACCTTCGCAAGAGGGTCAGAAAGTTTTGAAAATGCAGCAAAATGTTCTGATCAGCCTTCGTCAGGTCGATAAAGTCGGTCAGGCTGATCAGCGATTATAACTGATTACTGTCCGCTATCAGCCCCCTTGTGAGCCTGACGGGCTGATCGACCTGATATGCGCAGGTCAGTGCCTCACTGCGTGTCATACATTTTGTATTTTTCCGACATGCTTTCTTGCACAGGCGCAAGCAGCAGACCCCCCGGCGCCCACATGCTGCTCTCCGAATATTGTTTTTTTCTTTTTCTTGCGGCCCTTCGCTTGACCATGTCCTGAGTTCTGAGTAAATGGCAGTGTTTGCGAGGGTTGCAGCGGATTGGATGGGCCTTCAGATTCATCTGGTGTGTTGGGGGTTGTGATTTTGAGCCGTGTCTGTTGCGGAAAATCCATGGCAGAGGTGCCAGAGAGCAGGCCAGAGTGCAGTGGATGGTAGAGGAGATATTTAGGGATCCCAGCCGTACCGTATACTCGTCGTTCACATATGTAACCGGAAATTCGCTTATTAGAGCTAAAATTTGTGGAGTATTCTTGGTCTGATTGCCTAGAGATGCTTATCTGGATATATTCTTGCCCTCCTGAGTGAATTCAGTATCAAAAATCCTGTGCACACTTTGCGTAGATCAATTGTTTAGGGCCCTGTTCATTTTCGCTACTTGTGTGAAAAATTGAGATGTATCACTTGGTCTGTAAGTGGGTAAACAGTTTTCAGTGGACAGGACCTTGCCTTAGGATATGCTTCATGTGCTTCATGACTTGGAACTCAAGTAAGGTGAATGGTTGCTCACTATCAATGCACTTTTTGTGGCAGGTCATGTCTGTGTGGGCCTTGCGCAAGCTGCTGTCCAGTTAACCCCCAAAAAATAGAACTGTGAACAAATCAGCTTTGTGAAAGACCTTTCTGGAGCATTCCTTATTAATTGTTGCATACATCCATGATGTTCTATATGACCTATTACCATCTCAATCACTTGTACACCGAGTAATTCGAAATATGACAGATAATGCTGCAGCACAATTTGCGGCGTAAATCTGGGGCATAATCACAAACCTAACTGTCCCAGAATCTACCAGAGATGTCGATTCAGCCATTACAAGGGACCCCACTTTGTGTTCAGGCTCGTGGTATTTTCCTTGTGAGGTTTCTTTCAACTGCTGGATAAAATGGCATAATTTAAACAGGAGTTGGGAATCTTTTCTGGTCCCCACGGAGCAATACTGGGGCAATTCCCCCCAAACAAGTTATGTGGTCTGGAGCTAATATCAGTAGGTATCTGGTGGTAGGGCATGGTTGAACCCAGTTCACGTGATCTGTCACAATCGATCAATTTCCGGTTACTTATGTGAATGACGAGTACTTACGGTTACGGTTATGGGTTTCTTGAATGCAGCGAGAACGACCTCCAAGTTGTATTGGAGACTCAATACATCTACAGAGGTCTGAAAACATTGAATCCAACATGTCCGATGTGACTGGCCCTTACCCGGCAGCGTTCAACCTTTCCGTACCGTAACCGGACCATATAGCCAAAAAAGGTCGAGGTTTCCGGGCCGTAACCGTATACGGTACGGTTGGGATCCCTAGTCTCAGATATTAAGAGAGGGAGGAGCGGGTGTGGTGCATAGCTGTAGGTGATTAAGTACTTAGCTTGGAAACTTTGCTGCAAGCCGCAGTTCTGGGTTCGACTCCTGGCGCGCGCGTAGAGATGTTCTAGGAGCTTTTGCGTGTTTTCTTGGGTTTGACAGATAAGAGGACTTCTTCGTCCACGGTTGTCAGCGAGTCAGGACGGAAGCCCACTTTCGCCGACATTTCTCGGCAGGGCGCCTGGTATCTTTTTCTGCGTGTCTCGGAGCATGACCCCGCAGTGATATGCATTGGGTGGAGTGAGGCTATGTGGGCGCTGGTGTGGCGTTAATACGGTGTGACAGGTGTGACCTGCCTGCTCTCCTCCTCCTCGTCGCTTTAGACGGTCTACTCGCTGCCATGGACAGCGCCGGGAACGACTCGCCGCCACTCCGCAACACCATCCTCGGTTCTTTCCTCGGCCGCGGCCGCCCGCGCAACTCGTCGCAGTCCCACATCGACGTCGCCGCCGCCCGCGAGCTCTCGCCGTCCCCGCCGACCGCCCAGCCGCCGTCGCCGATCCCCATCGCCAGCCACCGCCGCCGCCCGCCCGGCGCCGCCGCCCCCGCCGCGCCCGCCGCCGGCCCGCTGACGCCGTCGGCCTCGTCGCACCAGCCGGGCCTCAACCTCTCGCACATGCTCCGCCGCCGCCGTTCTGCTGGCAATGTCGCCGCCGCCGCCGCCGCCCCCGCACCGCCCTTGCAGCCCGTGCCCTCCATCGCCGCCGCCTCCGCCGCCGCCGCCGCGCCGCGCCCCGGCACGGGCACCACACACCGCATCCGCCTCGTCCCGCACCTCGACTCGCGGCGCTCCCTGCGCTTCGACCCCATCGCGCGCGACCTCCGCGAGTCCGAGCCCGCGCTCCGCATCGGCCGCTTCACCGACCGTTCCGGATTAGGGCTCGCCGCGGTGAACGCGCTCAGCACGAACAAGATCGCCTTCAAGAGCAAGGTCGTCTCACGCGCGCACGCCGAGGTGTGGGTCGAGCCGAGCGCCGCGGGCCCTGCGTTCTTTATCCGTGACACCAAGAGCAGCAGCGGGACGTTCCTCAACCATGTGCGGCTGAGCCCGGCGAATACGGAGAGCCGCGCGCACCAGATCAAGGACGGGGATATTTTGCAGCTGGGGGTGGATTATCAGGGGGGCGCGGAGGATATCTATAAGAGCGTGAAGATCAGGGTCGAGGTGGGGCGGGAGTGGCAGGCGGCGGCGAATGCGTTCAAGTGGGTGCACAGTATTCTTCCTAACTTCATGCTAATGACGTCCGCAGCACCAACGCGCTCAAGAACCTCAAGACGCTCGCCATCGCCGCGCCCGCCGCTGCAGGCGCCGCAGCCGCTACGAAGCGCAAGGCCCCCGCCCCGGGGAACATCCCCGACTGCTGCATATGTGCGTCGCCTTCTCTTTCATGCGTTCCTCGTCCTTTCGCTCCAACCCTCTGCTGTCCTTCCATGCATTCCCTGCCGCCGCCTGTGGGCTACCCCTTCCATCTGTGCTGTCCACCTCTCCGCCCCATCCTCCATACCATCAGTCCTGCTTCCCTCCTCCGCCCCATCTGTCCTTTTTCGATCGCTCGCGCGGCGCTGCATGTTATCTCCCTCATTCCGTCTCCCTTCCCTACCCTCCTGTTCCCCGTTCCCTGTTCCCTCGCCGTGCGCCACCCCTACTCGGCCCACATGTCCTCTTCCGGCCGATATGCACGGGGATGCTCCGCCCGGGTGGGAGCCACTCGTCGCTCCGCGCCGCTGGGCTTCGCATTCGGGGGCGCCTATGTGCTTGGTGCGTTGGGGCTGTGGAGCTGTGGAGCTTCGCGCGTCAGGCGTCAGGCGTGACGTCGCTCGCGCGAGCGGCGTTTGCGGGACAGTACAAACGCGCGCCGACGCGCCACGGACCCGGCTCGGCGATGCACCCGTACCGGCGCGTCTACCGTGCTCGTTTCCTCGTCTGGCCGTTCTGTGCGGGGGCGTGCAGAGATCCGGGGGAGTCTTCGGGTGTCTGACTTCGGGCGCGAATAACGAGTGACGGCGGATCCTGCGCCGCGCGTCGAGTACCTCCCGTGCCCGCGCTATCCTCCATGCTTCGCGCGCACGCCGTGCTTCGATCATCATCGCCG